TAATTTATTCACATTTCAATTTATTTGTTTTTTATATATTTTATTATTTTAATTAATTATTTTTATTAATCAATACTAATAATATAATTTTTCATACTTTTTACTTAATAACAAATTTATTTCTAAATATAATTATCTTATTATCTTATAAATATAACTAATTACATATTTTAAATTTAATATTTTATGATTTAACTAAATTTACATATTTTATTATATTTTAACTATCATAACGTTTATATATATTTTTAGTTCCTAAACATAATATTACATATATTTTATGCTAACATAACGTTTATACATCCATTAATTTTTTAATATCAATCAATTTGTATATATAATTTTTTCATAACAAATTAACAAATATACAAATTACAGCCAATAAAATAAAATATATCTATAAATTGCAATTTAGAAACAAATTTTTCTTATTCTACGGTTCCAAACACGTGCACAGTATTTGTATATATAAACATTTAGAAATTTCTTAATAAATTCAAATAAAAATACTAAAAACTGATAAAAAAAATTAAGAAAAAAAATATAAAACTGCATTTAATTTTCATCACTAACCTTAGATGCTGGCAAAAATGACTATTCCAGTTCACCACTGAATATCCTAAAATTAAGATTCAAATCGATTATTTTTACCAAATGCAATTCAACAAAATATCACTAATTCTATAAATTAATTTTTACCTTCCAATTTTTCAGACAATAATGCAGGTAAAAACAAATTTTTTGACTAAAATATTTTAAAATTGCGTACAAATTTTTTGGAGGCCAACGTTAATGAAGGATCACTGATGAGAGAAGAGAAGAAACTGTAAGCAGCGTTAGTTTCCAATATGTTATGTGTCAAGATCACAGCTAGTACCGTCTAAGATGTGACGATAGCTCAATTGCTGTGTCAATTTTGATACTTTCAAATATGTATTGTCCCTATTTAGTTAATATTGCTGCGTTGTTGATACGTATTTTGTCTCGTCCAACTTCTTTCGCTATCATTAATATTTTTTTCTTTTTATTTTTCTGTCGTTTTAAATTTTCACATGTCACATATTGGAATAGTATCAAACCTAAGTGGTTGATAGAGTATTAAAAAATAATAAAAATAAGATTATCGTCAGTGCATAGCTGATATTGATGATAATTTGATAAAAAATAGTCCCAAACAAAAAATTAGTTTGAAAATAATTTTATTTTAGAAATTAGTTTTTAAATATGTATTAATTAAATAAAAAAGCCTTTTTTATATCTATTTTTATTTTCTTTATTCCTGACCTTTATTTTCGTGGTTTATTTTAAGTTAGTTCTTGTTTTTATCAATTTATTAATTTAATAACAGTTAAATTTATCGAATCGGATAAAAAAACCGTTACAACTATAATAATTTGAAATTGTTGTAATTGATTAAAAAAACTACATTAAAATTAAGAAAATAGGAATTAATACAAAAGAGATAAAATACTAATTAATCTACCTTTAATTGTATACGTATTAAACTGAAGTAATCATTCTTTTATGACAACGTTGGAATGTATTATTATTTAGTAAAATTCCCTTGTTAAAGGCGTGTTACTAATATTCACTATTGTTAACGTGTAAGATTTATTATAAAAATAATAAAAAATGAAAATCTTAACATTGAGCATTAGTTGATTGTTAGAAAATCTTAACATTTTTTCTAACACCTTACATTCAACATATTTAAGTTTATTTATTTATTTATTTATTTGAGGTGTATATTTTAAATGCAATATTTCATACAATGTTAGTTTTTAGTAGTTGAAATAACAGACCGAAAAAATTCATTTGCTCATTAATTTCTAAGCAAACATTTATAAATCAGCTAAACAAGGAGTGACAACTCCAATTATGCTTTATGTTCACTTTTTAATCTTTAATGATTACGTAGTTAATTAAGAAGTTATTATGTGTCAATGTTTTTCAGAATCACGTGATTATTAAGAATTAAAAGTGAAAAAATAAAAAAAAACGATATAGTATGAAATTTTGGTAAAAAATTATAACAATTTTAAATACATTTAAGTGTATATATATATATATATAAAGTTGGTAATGCGTTGTTTATTGGCCTTGGATTGGTGGTTGCTGGATCAAAAGCCAACCCATTCTATAAAAAAATAAAATTGACTAGGCTTACTTAGAATCCATCATGCATACCAGAAAAAATAATAAATAATAATACCATCCGTTAAGTATTTCCATAATCTGATTAGAAAAAGCATTTCCATAATCATTTCAAGGTACTTAAACAGGAACAAAAGTGTTTTTTTGATCTGTAAAATCAGCCACGTGGATTTAATAGTTTAATTTAAATACACTAGCAAAAATTATTTTTTTATAGTATCATCCGATCACATATTGACATATTAGTAAAAATTATTAATTAATTTTTATATTAATAATATAAAATTATATTTATGATGTACTATAATTTATTGAGAATGTAAAAATCCGTATTAATAGTATAAAAATTAAACTATTTGATTAAAGATCACGTTTTTAAATAAACTATTTAAATTAATTTTTTTAATTATTTTACTTTTAAAATTTCTCAATATTTCTCTGTCTCTGATGATCAGTGTATTCTTCATTGGATTAACTATTTTCACAAAAAGCATGATATTTTGTCTTATTTGAAATCGTATTTATTTTATTTTAATCTGTTATATGGAATTATTTTACTATTATATTCTTACTTCGAAGGCCACATTGCAAAAATCAACAATAAAATTATAGGCAACATGGATATTGATATATCAATATATTAAAAAGTGAAATAAAGTACATGTTATTTTTTAAGTATTTATTCTTTATAATTGAATAATATTTATTGAACATATAAAAAATTTACGTAAGTTTCACTTTTTTCTCATTTTTAAATTAATGTATTTTTTTATATTTTTCCAATTTTTAATAAATTTTAGCTATTAATGAAAAGCGTGTTAGTAAAAATGTGTTATTAATGTTTCTTATTATCAACATATGCAGTGACTTAGTGTATTAGATCTTACAAGATTATAAAATATAGTTTTATATTTAAATATTTAAGAAAAATGCATTTGTTCATGAGTTCTTAAAATCACTTTGTAATTACTACTGTTAAATGATTTTTTAAATTAAATTTAAAACCAATATTATCCTGTAAGTTTTTGTTCTTAAATCTCTTCCCATCTTCTCTGTAAGTGTTATTAAGCATCTTTCCTCATCTTTTCAATCTAAATCACAAATAAGGAGGTTTGCATCGGAATCGGGATCTTTCTTCCAAGGATCATAGGATTGCAGATGCTATCTATTTGTGCGCATGTTAACGTGTGAGAGAGACATTCATAATTAGTTAATAACGAGATTAGCTTTATTTTACACACCTGCGTAAAAGAGGTGATAAGTGTTTCTCCAAACCAGTCAAAGAAAAACATCAATCTATGGTTTCAGAGTACCTTGACACTAGTCCCCTACGAAATGAAACATGCTACGCTACTAGTTACATTTAAATTATGAATCTGGTCCTTCATATCATACTCCTGTACACAATGTATTGCTGCCTTTCCAATAGACCAAACTTGTTCTTCAATGAAACACTCTGTAATTTATCACCAAATTCTGAAATCACCAAGTTTGTCACATCCTTGGTATGTTATTGGATCTCTTGCAACAGAGTGAATAAGTTGTCCTTTAATGTCCAGACATTCAGAAGTTTTAGTATTTTCCTGTAAGTTTACCTTACAGAAAAGTTGTCATATGCAGCCAAGACCCAAACATATTTGCTAATGATCAGACATGTCTTGGTATTTTTTCAATCTTTCAAGCATGTGAAAAAAATTCAATTAAAGTTATTTTATTGGTCCACCTCAAATTTTCAGCACTACATCAAGCACTTCTAAGATTCTGTAAAAGGATTGAGAAAGTCATTAAAAAAATGGAATTTTGATAAAGTTTATTGGTTCCATGACAGGTGTGCTTGATTTTGACTGAAGATTTTTCACTTTTCATTCGAAAAATAACTAAATACGCATGCATATACAAGATAATCTTAATTTAACATGAAAGAAGTCCTAATTTTTTGCATAATAATATTTTCTTATTTACTTTACCATCACAGATGTTTAAAAAAGAAAAGGGACAATTTACGGAATATTTGTTTCTCTCTCTTTGTGGAAATGATTAAGAAACCGTCTTCTTCTCTAGTAATAAATAAAGGTAAAGAACCTTTTCATATAAAATTACAATTACATGAGAATCATGTGTTTCCAACATGTTAGTTTTTATTGTTCTTGTTTTTGTTGAGAATCTAAGCATTTACAACTCAGTGTTCAGTTCCTCTTTAAGGGAAGGGGTAACTTTGTGGAATCATTTGTAATTGTAGACACATATCTTATGCAAAATTCATTCCAGAAAAAAAAAAAAAAAAAACTACAACATCAAATCTTCTAAAAAGCATCACCAGGTTCCTATAGGATGCAGCCACTGTCATCAGTGGATGCCTCAAACATCAAGATCCTATCAAAGCATGCACAAAAACGTTTATCTTACGCGCAAGAAACCAATAAAGAAAGCATCTACTACCACCAAGCGGGGTTCTGCACAACTGTATATATATTTTTAAATCTTGTTAACTCAGAAGTATAGAGTTTCTATTAAAAATCACGTTGAACTATTTAAAAATTTATTTTAAAAAGTATATTAATGTCTTTTGTATAAACAAATTTATTTAATTTCTTAACTAGTGTTTTAATGTATGAAAAAGTACCCTTAGGGCACTAGCCATTTGCTAAACTTGCTCTATCAATTGTCCAAGACTTATTAATTCCAGCTTTGATTGCGCTTCTCATGATTCTAATATTTTTGCCCACAGCCACATTGATGTTCAATTGCATCTGGCTAGGAGCAAAAGAAAACACAAAATAGAAGGAAATTTGTTTTGCAATGGTGAACAGTGCAAAGATCCAAGTATTGGCAGCAATTATACACAAGTTAATATTTTTATTTTTCTCCATAATCATAAAGCACCTCATAGCCATTATAAGCTGGGTGTTTAATGAGTACATTATAGCAGGAGCAAAAGAAGATGACAAGTAGAGAGAGTAATCTATAAAACATGCCAAAATGGTGTCTAACTAGAGTAATTAATAATTCTTTTCACAACCACTGTCCTTGCTCTCCTTATCTGCCGACTACATTCATCAGCTTGCTTACTCAAATTCTCAATGGTCTCAGCAAAAGTGTCTATATTCTTCTTAATCTCATCAATTGCAAACCTTACAGCATCCTCATTTTTAAGAGCAAAATCAGCACTCTGCAACATGGATTCAATCTTTATTTCCAATTGATCAATTCGCACCTGAATGTTTTTCAAGTCCACCAATGTAATGTAACTACCAACCTGCATTGAACTGATCAATTCCCTTTGGCCCTTTAGAGCTGTCTCGTATCGCTTAAAAAGCGAGTTACACCATTTTCCCACTGAGCCAATTGGAACAGCCAATGCACCAGCCAAAGCAGTTACCACAGGTGGTGCAGCAACTGCAGCTGCCACCACCGAGAAAATCAAAACAGACACGAAAGCAGCAACAAAAATGGCATTGGACACCCGCTTCAGTGTCTTGAGGGACTTCAATTTCCTATCAAGCTTCTGCTTTCTAATTTGTAATTTCTTCAGCATTGACGCTTGTTTAGCATAAACAGATTGAAACATCGAATAAAACTCATCCGTGAAGGGGTCTCCAGCTTCTTTGAAATTCTTGAGCTCTTGCAATGTCTTCACATAAGTGGACCCTTCAACCCTATTTTGCACCTCTTCCTCAAAAGAGGTAATTGCAGACTTAACAATAACATGTCTTTCACGTGCTCGATTCAAGCATTTATCAAGAGCATTACAGAATTCCAATGTCTGAAGACTGTTTTCAAAGAAATCCTCCACCAAGGAGAATAACTCCCTGTCCTTCTTGTTCCATATATCTTGCTTGCACTCTAGAATGACTTTGGCAACATCCTGATTCATTTCAAGCAAACTACCAGTCACTTCTCGTAGGGACTCAATCGATATGGAACGAACCTCAATCCCATGAGCAAGGGAAGTAATCACCCTGTTGGTGCGCTCCTGAATGGTAGCATCTAAGGATTGCAAGTTAGGATCTTCAACACATGCAGCTTCGTAAGACCTTAAATCAGCCGCATACAGAGAATGGGTACCCATTTTGATGGGCGTTGGAACATCACTACCACTAGTGTTCTTGCTAGTTTGACTTCCCATCATATCCAAGTTTAGTACTAACAAAGATTAAAACCAATTTTTACCAAAAAAAAAAAAAAAAACCCAATTTCTAAGTTAGAAGACTAAATGCAACAACAAGATAAGCCTATTCTTTCCTCCTTCTCCCTCCAATCAATCACCAATACTCAATGCAAAGTTTGAATATTTCGCAAGATTGTGCCCAATTGGAACCGTGTGCACCCTTAAGAAGTAAGAAAGAAAAATACCTTGAATTTGGCCAGATCCAGGACCCAAAAGACAATCCTTCACTTGAGAAGACAAAATGGATACATATGAATATAAATTATAAAAACCCCTAGTCGAAGTTTATGTCTTGAAGTGCAATTATATATATGCACAGGACCAGAATAGAAGTTCTTAGTACCTGAGTGGTGTTCCTCACTTGAATTTGTTCTCCAAGAGAAAAGGATCACAAACAGAAGCGGGGGTGAAGGGAATGAGTGAAGAGAATCTGAGATGGATATGTATGGCCAGTTATAGGAAAACAATGATACACAGCAAAGCAGTGAATTGCAACTTCAACTGGGAAAGGAAAGATATGAAGATTGTGGCGGTTGAGAAGTGTGAGGACTTAGGATTTGCTGAACCAAGTAAGAAGTCAAAGGAAGGAAAGAAGATCAATGAACGACGGTTCAGCTGCTTCGCGTTTTGAAGGTACGAAGCAGCTTCTTCATCTTTACGGTCTATAGAAAGTGCGTCATCACTCATCACTATGTTTTGATTCAATTTTTTTTCAACGCAACGAGATGGGTTTTGGACTTTGGACCTTATGGGTTACCTTGCTACGATTCAGAAATTTCACCATACCCCGTTTCTTCAGTTTAAAAAATATAGTAATTTTTTAAAAATAATTTATCGTATTAAAATATAAAAACATAATCATTATATTATTTTAATTTTTTCAATAAATTTTTATTTTATATTTCTTAATTAATATCCATACTTACAACAGTTTACATTTTCATAATTCTTAATTAATATGAATAATTGTAAGGATCTTATTTATTGGTATTTTAAAGTTATTGATTAAATAGATTGATATTTTTAATTAAATTTATTTAATTATCGTGATTCATATTTTTATCAAGTAAAATATATTGGTTTTTATATTTTAAAGACGTTATATATTTGTCTATATTTAATGCTTTTTATAAAATAATATAAAGATGAAAAAATCATAGGAAGATCAAGATATGATATTAATTTTTAGTATTGATTGTTTGTATACAGCTTTATGTTCAAGGTCGAATGTTTTCACGTTTGTAAATGGGTTAAATGGTTTTAGAGAATATTATCAGCGAACAAGTTGCTTTTATATAAAAGTGAGATAAATAAATCTTTGTCGTGTAATTATACATAGATAATCACAATTAAAATATATTTAAAACTTCATAAACACTTTAAAAAGTTGAATGTATTTAAAAAATTTACATTATTTTTATCAACATTAATTATTCCTAATAAGATTTTAACTAAAAATATTAATTTGTTTCACTTTCAGGTAAAAATGGCTCTTTTATTTAATACGTGAACTTAAAGTACAAAAAAAATATGTTCTTAATTATCAACACAGGTTAATAAGAGTGGCAAATATTTTGATATTATTTAAGTAAGGTTTTGTGTTTCAGTTTGTGTATGTAAAAAATCTCTAGTAATAAATTTATCCACTACATTCAGGTGCGCAACTCAAGTCAGATCTGGATTAAATTTGATGTGAACTAAAAAAATTATATGTTCGTAATTTTTACAAATATAACCAAAGTTGCTTTTAATCTCCCTATATTTTGTTAATCCCGACACTTATAAACTTTAATATTTTTAATGTAACATGCCTCTAAATATCTTATAACATATATCACTTTAGAATGATAACTAATAAGTTAATAATTAAGCCATTTTCTGTGACATATATATTTATGTTTAGCCTTTATTTTAATTAGGTTTTATACTGATTTATATGTTAAATGTGCAGTTTAATATGAAGAGACCACAAATAGATTTTGGTGTGTTTTGGGCCCAAATTAATGAAAGATCAAAATTTCGCAGCAGTCAGCACGCTCAAACCCTCTCAACAAGGCCTTGCACAACCGTACTTATCTACAGGAAGCCCAATTAAAAAGAGTTTTTAGTGTTTTTAAACCTTATAAAAGAGATACCTTAGACATCTTGTTGGACACATGGTTTACATATTGTCTTTCACTCTTTGATACATCTTTCATCTTGTCTCTCTTACACAGGATCGTTGGCATACTCTTTGTAAGATTTTGAACTTCAAGCTATCGTACTTGAAGACCGAAAAATCATCTCTTTCTAATTTATTTTTCTCTATGGCTTTGTTTATGATTGTTTTAGTTTTTCTATTTAACACGAGTAACTAAGTTCATAGGTAAGGCTATGAAAACTATTGTTTATGAATTTATAGAATTTTGAAGTTTGAATTTATATTTGATTTCCGTTCGTGATTAGCTTTTATCCTATTGCGCATAATTATAATCCTAATTAATTATCTCATCAGGCGACCATGTTTCGATTAGTTAATAGATCTATAGGATAAAATGAGACAATGAATTATGTAGATCAAACCAATTTTTCTCTTCCAATCGTTATTAAATTAACAAGTTCATAGATCCTTTATACTTTATTTAATTAATGTCTTGCATGATCATTGGGGATATTAATTTATAGAAATAATATTAGTATTGCATAATCATTGGGTATTAAAAGTATTTGTATGAATGATTCTTGATCACAAGGAAATCAAATTTAAAGTTAAACAAAAAAAGAACATAAAGGATTGATTGAGAAAATACATATGTCCTAGGTTCATCTCTTATAAGTTCAAATAAGACGTGTGTTGTGTTATTTACTTTTATTCATAATTAATTTTATAATTAAATTATAGTTCTTACTTAATAATATATCGAAAAATTATTTTAGAATCATTTATTACTTCTCGCGGGTACATTTATCCTTCGAACAATCACTAACGTAACATAAATAAATGTAGGGTACATTGCTATTAGGTGGTCATGGATAATGTTTTTAAAAAATTACTTAAAAAATATTCTTAAAGGATCAAAATTAAATTTAATCATATTTTTAAGAAAATTATATTCAAACCATTTAAGTATTTTAGTCTCCAATATATAATTTTGTAGGTTATTTTTTCTAAGCATGATTTTTTTAATATTTTAAAAATAAAAAGCATTCACATTTTTTAAAATAAACAATTAATTTTATTATCTATTAATATAAAATTAATTATTATAATTATTTCACATATAAAAAAAGTATAAAATAATAGTTTATTTTACAACGTAGAATTTTAAATAAAGAGTTATAAGTTATTTAATATTTTAAATATTAAAAATATTGATATTTTTTAAAATAAATTATGATCATCAATGCCACGGTGAAGTCTCTATGGAGGCAACAAGAAGCTCCTCTTTCGCCAAGTCTTATCAAGGTTTTCAGCTTGCTTGCCTCCACTACCATGCACCCTTAGAGTGGATGGTACTGAAATGGCTTCATGATGAACCATTTCTTAATTAATTTCTTAGATCCAAATTTGACAGTATAAGGGTGTTGTGTTGTGCCATATTTGAATCGGGAAGATGAACTGAGGATAAATTATGACAGTGCTGTGCGGAGAGATCAGAATCAAATACGTGACTCACATAATTTTTCACCTAAAATTTATAGGTATTTCATCATATTTAATTAAAATATACTGCTAGTATTTTTTTATATTATTAGTATAGTTTAATTAAATTTTAATAATTATTTCTCCTCATTTGAATTGTACCAAGCATACTGGAAGGTAGCAAATTACCCTTCACCTATTATATTTTCACAAATTCTTATTATTGAATAAACTATTTCACTCTTTCTTTAGTAGGATTTATATACAAATTAAAAATAAAAAGGGTAAGAAAAATATTATCTTGAAGAGTTCTAATATTTCTGATATTTTTAATATTTAAAAATACAATTTCATTTAACTACATTATGCTCGCATTGTATTAATTAATGCTATCTCTTGTTAATTTTCCATATTACAAGTATCATAAAAAGAAAAGTCAACAATTTTTTTGTTTTCTCAGACGACAAATAAATAAAACAAATTTTATTTAAATAACGATGATATTTTGTAAAGGAATTGGAAAAAATAAAGTAATGAAAAGTAATAATCATATTTTCCTGGGAAGATCATGGTGACTTTCTTCGAGAGTACAATTGTGCTAAGACTCGTAAACACTTCACTCCTTAAAATCCTGCGAATGAAGTCCATTCATGGAGGCTCTACCAATAATGTTTTTGTCTTGTATGCACACAGCATAATATACACGCGCTTACGGTGGACCCAATGTTTTCTATTACACAAATATCAATAAATACACAATGTTCAGCCGTAGAAACAAGTATTTTGATAAATTATCAATAAATGTTTTTCTAATAGCTTAACAATAAGCTAATTCAATTTTTAAAAATCAATTTATATTTTATTTTACCTCATACTTAACTAATCTAAAAACACTCTTATCCAAGTTGGTTTGACCAGATTCAATTTGATCATGTTAAAATTTATGTTTGACAAATATCTAATCCATTCCAGCAGGTGATCCCACATATTATGAGTGTTTTTAGATAATAAGTTTATTAAAAAAAACTATATAAATCATAAATTATTTCAAAGAAATACTATAGTTGCGAAATTGTAATATTCCACCTTGGTTTTCATAGTTTAGACTAAGTTTTCCTTTTCTACAGCGGCGAAAGTTGAACTTTGAAGCGTATTCTATCCAACATTCAGAAAATTCTCATTCGGAAAAGGACGAGAAAGGGGCAAATATGAAATATAACGCTAAACATCTATTTAAACTGGAACAAAAAAAGGACAAAGAAAATAAACACAACTTCACGTTTCTTTCTCATCACTTTCTTTCACATCAAACAACTTAGAATTTTAATCATTTTCTAATACGCCATTGGTTGTTTATGTTAACTTTGTAATTTTAAAACCAAAATTGTGGTGAATTGAATTAATTTTGAGAAAGGTAAAAATTTTCAACTTTTTATTATAAAATTAATTGTGCATATAAAACTATAAATTATATCTTATTTGGAAACTCAGAAATTATATCTTATTTGTATATTAAAAGCAAAATAAATTAATTATTTTCGAATTTTAAATTATCACTCACCAAACATAAATTTAGAAGGTTATGGATTGGTTGGTAATTTCGTCTATCTTGTCATGCCATATTCTTAGTGGTTTTAGCCTATTGTTTCTTCGAGACCTTTTTGGCATCACCTCGCTATATCTAACGGCTTCTCAAATGTCAATGGACTAAAGGCATATTTGAAACTAATTTTAAAATCTATTTTAATAATTTTTATATAGTTTATTAAAATAAAATTCTTGCAATTTATTTTAGCAAAACCTATTGTTAATTTTATGGTAATAGTTGTAATTTAAAAATTAATAAATATTTAAATAAAATTATGTATCTAATGTTCTTTAAACTTTACTATACAAAGATAAAAATAATTACATTATTTATTATTGTTGTTGTTGGAATTTATTTAATTATTATTCTAAAAATTAATAAATAATATTTTTAATGTTAGTATCAGATTTTAGAATTAATTTTAAGTAATTAATCATATAAATGCTTTAAAAATATACTTATCACACTTTTATAGTTTTAAATATAATAAATTTTTTTAACTTTTAAATGTTTAGACGCAGTCATAGAAAATAAATTTGATAAAATTAAATTAAGATATACAGAAAATTATAAAATATGAATGTATTATTAGTTTTTATTAAATTTTTTACTTTTAATTTCATATTTAATCTCCTTTATTTCATTTTTCTTCTTATTATTAATATTTTTAAAATTAAATAACAAAAAATACTATAATAAAAATAAGAATTTTATTAAAAAGATTAAAAATAAGAAGTTAATAATAATAAAATTTTATTAAAAAATATTTATTATATTTTTATAACTTCATTATAATAAATATGTACTTTTTTTTATAAAAAAAATTATTTATAAATACTTAAATTCAACGCCAAAAATAAATAGGCCAGAAAAATTACCACTGTAAAAGGAAGTTTGTGGCTATGATTAGCTTTCCAAGGCTTATTTCAGTGTCATCCTATTTTTTTTAGGTCATATTCAGATATAATTAAGTTAAATAAGGACGAGTCTTCACAATGCAATTTAAAACCTTAAAGTAATTGAATCCATAAGCTTTTTTCTTTATAAACTTGTTAATGTTTTATATTATATAAAATTATCATTCACACTTGATTCTAAAATTCATTATGATCTTAGAGTAATTATAGTCTTACTCTTAGACTAGGAAAAAGTTTTCTTGAAAGAGAGATTCGAACCTACACAAAAATGCCTATATACATATTGATTTTGCATTGACATTAATTGATGATGAAGATTTTCTCCATAGAACAGTGGTGAGGAAGATGTTCAATGAATCGGGTCAAACACGACGGATCCCAATTTATTTTGAAGCAGTACCAGCAACGTAGACTGCGAAATGCCTATATACAAATTCAGTCTTTCTAACTAGTTTTTTAAAATATTTGTTAATTTGTATGTATTAAAAAATATTAAATATAGGTTTCTATCTAATATTGTACTAAACCTTATAATCATTTTAAGAATATACAGTGAAAATAATGCATTAATTAAGAGATGTAATTAGTATTGTAATGTAATTTATTTTAAAACAATTTTAACTTCTCAACACGACTCTCGATACTATTCTTTATCTTTTATTTGTAACGACTGTGTAAATTATTTTGAAAATTAAAATCAAAATACAATTAAAAAGATGAAAATTAACATTGTCTTAAATTTCCAGGTCAATATAATTTTTTAAAAATATAGTAAATGTTAATAAATATTTTAAGAGTACTGTTTAAAAATTCAAAAGAAGACAAAATTTGTTATATATGCATTAATACACACTTATTGTGATTTTCAAGATATTTTCAATTTTTAACATTTTGATATTTTAATTTCTGCTCTTAAAACATCAATATTTAAGATTCTAAAAATAAATTTAAGAAAATAGAAAAATTAATTACACTTGTTTTTTGTTTTAAACATGAATGTGTAAGTATTTTTAATAACATAATTTTATATCTTATTTAAGAGTTCATAACTTATTTAGGAGTTGCTCTTTTTTTTAAAAAAAATTATAGACTTGTTTAACGAATAAAAAAGAAAATAAAATTTTATAATTTTTTAAAAATAGTTTATAAAACTAAAAAAAAAATGCAACTCATTGAAAAGTAGCTTTTCATATGTTTTATTTATTTATTTATTATTATTATTTATTAAATAATTTATGCTCACATATAATATATTTAAAAATAAATTTTAGTTAGTTGAAGTTTAGTTTATCAATGAAAAATTATATTTAAAAAAATATAATTATATTTGATAAGGCTAGTAAAACATGAAATTACTACCATTTGTTTAAACACTAATCCAGAGAGCATTTTCTTAAACGAGAATTTTAAGCTACCAATTGAAAGTAAATATTTTATTTTTATTTAATGACTCACTGTTCTACTTTCAATTTCTAAAACTCGATTACCATACCTTTCCTAAATCACCTTTATTATTATAATTATTTTCTACGGTATAAAAATTGTCAAAATAATAATATAAATTAATTTATATTGTCTGTTTTTATTAAATAAAATATTTTAAATTGAGAGTAAAAGAAAAATCTATAAAAGATTTTAAATATTTTATAAATTTCCAGATTTCAAATTTTAGATTAAAAATTTATGATGTTCTTATATGCCATTTTATGTTTATTAAATAGTTCAATGATAAACTTTATCTAATATTATCAACTTAAGGATCTAATTTTTCAATTTTAAACTAGTTTATCTGTTAATTTTTCTGGATTCATCTATTATCGCACAAAATAATATTAATACTTAATTTTTAATCATTTAGTTGTACAGTTGAAATCATTGAATATCTTTGATTTAAGCAAATAATTATAATTTATAAATGAATCTATCTCAATCCAATAATTTTATTAAACAAACTCATGTTTTTTTTTTCCTTCTTATCGGTAAATTAATGCACTTGTCTAACTTAAAGCAGAGACCCGTCTGCAGGAACGAACCAAAAATTGCTGCTGATTGGTCCCTTTTGCTATTAATACTATTTTGTCCATTTAATTTATGCCAAAATAACGATAATCAGAAAAAATCACAACCAAACAGCATAAAATTCATATCTTATTAGCTATATAAATCATACAATATTATTAATTCGATGAAAATAACGATCAAGTCTTAACACAACACAGTATTATCATGAGTAATTTGTAAGCGAAAAAAAAAAGATAATTTACTTTAAAGGGAAGAAAGGAAAAATGTTTATATAACTTTTTAGAGTTGATTTTAAGCATTTTAAAAAATATTTCAAAAAAATTATTTATTAAAAATATTAAAATTATAAATTTGGATGTTTAAAAATATTCTTATAGATGAATATTATTAAAATTGAAGAAAAAGTCATGCCAAAGACAGTGTCTTAAAATATATTTAGAATTAAAAAAAAATGCTAACGACGGTTCTAAAAATATTAGTGAAATATGAATTTATAAAATAACATTGATTTTACTCAATTTGAATATAAAATGATAAAAAACACCAAAATAAGCTTTTAAAATTTTAAAATATATATATATATATATATATATATATATATATAATATGAGACTAAAAATATCGATATGTGAGATCCGAGAAAATTAAATAAATATTTACTTACTGTGATATTAACTGAGTCATGCAACATAGAATTTTGTGCTTTCTCCATCCTTGTAGTGCACATAAAACCTTATCCAAAATTGAACAACAACCATCAGTTCATGCCCCCAATTACATATACACATAATACATCCTTTAAGTGTTTTAAAATACTAATTAATATGCTTTCACTACATTTTTAAAAAGTTGTAAAATGACATTTATATACAATTTTGAAGTGACAATGCATTAATAGGCATTACTTAATCGTCACACACATATAGATAGATAGAGACTATCTTTTAATAACGGAATATTATATTACCAAAAAAATATTGATTTCATTATAATTAATTTTAAAGTAATATTTATAGTAATTTTAAACAATTAATACTATATTTTTGTACATCAATAATATATTAAGTTTCAAATTAACTATTAACATATCTTAAATAATTAATAATATATTTTGTATTCCATAAATGCATATATCATACGAGTAATCAGTTTGATAGTAAAACACTATCACATGTAACTGTTGGCAAATTGCGCAAAAGGTTTCCAATAGCGGTAGAAGTATCGTGTGGCCAGGGTAAAAAGTCTACGCTTAAGTAATATATTTTTGTTTCCTTTTGTGTGTATTTAAAAATATATATACACATACACGAACAGAAAATAACTTATGTAAATTTTTATTTTATTATTATATATATCTATAAATATATACAAATGACTTATATATCACATTTTAATTATATTATTAATTATTATATAAAATTGTAAGATAAAATATTTAATTTGAATAATTATAGAAAGTAAAACCACTCATAAATTAAATTATAACAATTAAGAGTACTGTTGAATCACCATAAATAAAAAGGTGCAATTAAGTCAATAATAAAGCTATTTTGGTGTGGGATCACCTTGCGATCTTGACAAAAGAAAAATTGAAATCTGTTTGCACCAACTCATCGTGCGACCATGCCAATTACAAGAGAGAAACATTTTGATGATCCGCCAAAACTCGCCAGCATAGTTGGAGGGAGGTTTGAAGAACCACGCACCAAAAAAATGGCAGTCTCGAATACCCAAATCCTACGCAGAATTCTAAAATCAAACCATAGAAAAAAAAAGATTTTTTATTACAAAACTCACTGGAGAATATATTTGACACATCCCCAGTTACAATATTGAGTTTTATTTTAATCATGCACTTATCCTAAACAGAGTCTATTAATCTAAATTTAATTTTGCCTGTAAGCAATGTAATTGGCTAAAGCAAACAATGGAGCTGCCTTTTCCGGATGAAACCCCCTCAACTGTTCCTTTGCATCACTGATTAATTTATCAGCAAATTCCTTAGATTTGGGTATCCCTAAAAGCTTAGGATATGTGACCTTATCGGCGACCAAGTCCTTCCCCGCAGTCTTCCCCAAATCCTCAGACGACTTAGTAACATCAAGAATATCATCCACAACCTGAAACAACAACCCAATCGACCTGGCAAACTTCCTTAACCTCTCCACTTCCTCGTCCGAACCACCACCCACTATCCCTCCCAACACAACCGAAGATTCCAATAACGCTGCCGTTTTGTGTAGATGGATAAATTCGAGTCTCTCCAAACCCACATTCGACAACCCTTCAGAATTTATATCCACAACTTGCCCCGCAACAAGACCTTCCTTACCAATCGACTTCGCTAACTCCCCAATCGCACGAACCACCCTCGCCGGTGACACGTCCTTCGTCGACACCGCCACGTGCTCGAACGCCAACGCCAGCAGGGCGTCGCCGGCGAGGACCGCCACGTCCTCGCCGAAGACCTTGTGGTTGGTCGGTTTTCCTCGCCGGAGGTCGTCGTTGTCCATGCAGGGCAAGTCGTCGTGAATCAGCGACATGGTGTGGATCATCTCGACGGCGCAGGCGGCGGGGATTGCGGTTTCTTCTCTGCCGCCGACGAGCTCGCAGGCGGCGATACAGAGCACCGGGCGGACACGCTTGCCGCCGGCGAGGAGGGAGTAGCGCATGGCCTCGTGGATCTTCTCTGGATCCTTCAGCGAAATAGCTTGGTCCAAGGCTTGGTTTACTGTGTTGGCTTTTTGGATCATGTAAGCCTTGAAATCGAAGTCTTGAATTTCTTCGTCTCTCACAGTGTCTTCCTTAGCAAGCACTGCAGAGACAGAGATAGGAGAAAAAGAATAGATTAACTTTGCTCTTCGTCGTTTGGGGAAAATGGGAAGCGTTTTGAGAGCGTGAAGAGAGGGGTTTTGAGTTGCGGGAATGGATCTGGTTCTTTGGTTGGGACGAGGCCAGGTTCCGATATTCACAGAACTCATCTTTGGTGAGGGATACGATACGCGTTTGGTTTCACTGTCGTTCACCTCGTTATATAGAGTTGGAATGGAACCTAAGGGTGCTCTCTGCTACTTGCCATCATTCTTTGATTCCAATGCATTCCGACAAATCATTTCACGGATCTCTTTCGTTTGAAAATTTTGTTTTTATTGTTTTTAATAAAATTTTACTCCCTCGGTGTCTATTTAAACAGACAAACAAGTTTCATACAAGATGCTTCTTTTGGTATGTCATGAATGGGGATAGATAACGCCAACTACTGTCACCACCACTGCAACCAACGGCAAATGAACGTGCTTTTTCGCTTTGGCTGGATAGGGTTCATGGAACGCTTTGTTGGGAAATCAATTGACAGTTGAGGATAATTTTTTTATTACGCTTATAATTTATTTGTCAATTTTTTTATTTTTAAAATAATACAACTTTTTCATTTATATGATTGAAAATTGTATTAATAGAAAACAAACCCACTGCATCAACGTTGTCTTCGAAGATAATGTCCGTGCTCATTTTTCCACTGTAGTGTCATATTTCCATTAAACTGGCAAGTATTTCCTCTAGGGTATGGATATTTTAGCAAAAAATAAAGAAAAAAACTAAAAATAATTAAGTTGAAAAGTGAGAGAGAAAAATATTTATAAATTAGTCATTTGTTCTCAGTTGGTAATAGAGTTTTATTTGTTATATAGGAATTAATTCATATATATATATATATATTCATCATCAATTAATATGAGATTATTAAAGAAAACTTTATATATATTATTTCCTTTTTTAATTCACATATTTCACGCGTAAAAAAATTATAATACGATATAAAATGTTATTTTTTATAGTTACCAATTTATTTAAAAATAAATAATTTACATTTTTTTAAGTATAAATTTTGGCTTAGATTCACTTTTGATTCCCATATTTTCAATTTGTATAATTTTAATTCCTATAATTTTATTTTCTCACATTTAATTTCTTTCTTTTTTAAATGATTTAAATTAAGTCATTTATCCTAAAATTTTATCTAATAATTAACAAAAATATATTGTATGCATATTATTGAATTGTATAAATTAATAAAAATATTAAATGCAGTATAATAAAACATTTAAATTTTATTAAATTATTATATATATGTACAAAATTTATATAAATAAAATATATATTAAATTTTTTATTGATTTTAAAATAATTTTTTTAAATGACACACTTTATTTAAAAACATAAAACAAAAAAGTTGTTCAAAATATAACATAAATAACAATAAATTTTTTTTTTTATCTTATATCCTTGATAAATAATATCCTACGTAAATATTTTAAAGAAGATAGAGAGTAGTAAAGTGAGTGAGAATGGACGAGTCCCACAAAACCCCAATTAGTAAATGACAAAATGGAACGTTGAATTCAACCAGTTTGTAGGGAGGGGGAATCTGTTCCCAATTTTGGTTCGCTTCCCCGGGATCGTCTAATTCCTTCCTATGCTTCATATAATTTATTAAAAAAAAAAAAAAACCAATATAGTCTTCGTATTTTCTCCTAATGTTTGTGTTTGGGGGTAAAAGAAATCCTCAAAACGAGTTTATTTATAAAGTGAGAAAATAACTAACTAGTTTTGATTTTTTGAAAATTAGTTTTATCATATATTTTCAATTAAATTGATAATAAAAATACTTTTTAAAAATAAATAAATAAATATAAAAGAGCCTTATTCGTTGTGTTTGGAGACGATAAACACAAAAAGGATGGATAACTTGTAAAAAAAGGGTTAGTTAAGAGGTTTCCCTAAATTAGATATTAAAATATTTAGTAGTTTTCAATTTTATCAATTAAAACATTAAATACTAGTTGTCTTTTAAAATATTTTGATCATGTTAGATTTAAATATAACTTTATGAAAAGTAAATATTAGTTTAATATTTTTGCTTATATTGAAATATATTATTCTTAATCATCAATGCTTTTACATGTGATAAATTTAGAAGTTATAATTTAGAAGTTATAAAATTTAAAGTTTTAATAAAATTTTGTTTCTGTATATTTTTTTCTCTTTTTCCTTTCGGTTGGTTCTCTTTGAATTATCGTCGTTCAACTTTCTTTTCTTCTTCTTAGATTTATGTTAGTTCTACCGTCATTCTAATTTTTTATATTTTAAATTTATTTACTTACATTCTGCATTTTATATTTTTGTATTACATTTAGTAGTCTTACTACTACCTACTTTTTTTTCTATCTCTATTTTTAATTTTTGATCCACTTCGAGTTCTCTGGTATTATTTAAAAAATATATGAAAATATAGTATTAATTTTTTTTAATAATAATATTTCACGTAAATAATGATAAAATAACAAAAAGTTAAAAAAATTAAAAAATTGTTAATAATAAATTTTAAAAATATTAAAAGTTTAAAATAATAAAAAATTTAAAAATAAAAAATCATCAGTAATAATTTAAAAATAATAAATTTTAATAGTATCAACGATGTTTTTTTTAAATTATAATTTTTTAAATACCATATTTTAGTAATATTTTTATGATTTTATTATATAGAAAAAGGCCGATATGGGATCAATAAATTTTATATATCAACGTTTAGTCAATCTTCTTATTAATTGAAAAATATATATATTTTTTTAAAAAAAAATTTAAAAAACTTAATAAAATTATTTTTTTAAAATAAGCTACACTAAACATACATATTTTTATTTTAGTATATTTTATTAAAAAATATACTAAAATAAAAATATATAACTGTGTGGAACTTATGGAATAATAGAAAAAAAAAAGCAAATTTTTAGGATTCTCCCGCTTTACAAGATGGCAACCTCCTCTTCACCCTCAAATTAAATTCAATGTTGATGGAGTTGTCTCCTACTCTATAGGATCTCCTAGTTGTGGTGGGATTCTCAGGAACAGTTTCGACAAATTCATTTTTGACTTCTATAGATTTATGCCGTTATGTTCTCCCTTAGCTACTGAGCTTTGGGGGTCTATTGGGTTTAAAGCTTGTCATCTTTAAGGAATTTCAACATATCTGGATTGAATGTGACTCCAAAAAGATGATATCTTTATTTTTGACTATTCAAAGTAGTAACTATTCTCTTTATTTTGTAATAAAGGAGATTAGGAAGTTATTGAGAGATATTAGGTTCATTAGATTTAATCATATCTTGAGAGAGGCCAATCAATGTGGGCTAGAGTGTAAAGACTCTCTTTTTTGCTTTGAGGAGACTCCTTCCTCTTTAATTCCCTTCTTAAGATTAGATTCCTTAAATTCGTGAGTTCCTAAGCTGTTAATCTAGTCCTGTGTTTCTTTAGACGTTTAGCCCCATCTATTAGCCAAAAAAAATAATTATTTAATAACTTCTATTTTTAAACTTAAATATATTTTTTGTCCTTATATTTTAATTTTCATGTCATTTTATTTTTTATTGTTAGAATTATTTAAATTATTCTTTTATTTTACAATTTTATTTAAAAATAAAAATATAATAGAAATATCACATATTATTAATTTATAGAAATTTAAAAAAAAATACAAAGCATCACAAAATAGGGAGTAAAAAAGTATGAAATATGTAAAAATTATTTTATTTAATTATTGCATGCAACTTTTTCTTTTTATATTTTATATATTAATGATATAATTTTTTATTAATTATTAAATAAAATTTTAGAAAAAAATAATTTAAATAATAAAATATTATGTATACTAAATGTGATAAAATTTAAATTCAAAGAGAATAAAATTACACGTATATTGAAATATAAAAATTAAAATATAATTAAACATAAATTTTATTATAAATCAATCTTTCTCCGGATAACAGTAGTAGATCAACATATATAGTTGTAAATGTAACAAGTAATAAAAAATATATGTAAAATGAAAATCTACATGTATTATTTTATACAAACGATAAAAGTGTCGTTTTTATTTTCTCAAAATAGGTTTTTTTTTTCTCAAAAAATGAAAATCGATTTTGTAATACTACAACACCTGAATTCTGTATTTCCAATATGTTTTTAGTAATACGTATAAAATTTGCAAGAAAATCAATCCTGATGTTTTATATACTGTATATAGAATAATGTGATATTATTCATTAAATATATAAAAGATCTTAGAAGTTGAATAATATATACGACCTTAATTTTTTTACTTTATTATTTATAACCAGTAAACAAAAATTCAATTTATTGCAATTAAATGTACAAAAAATAAGTACAATGAACCAATAATGTTTAAATTAAATTATTGACTTATAGTGAATTTTTAAATATTGTAAAAATTTATTAATATGTCTTTAAATTCTGTTACCTTAAAATATATTTAATGAGCGAGAATAATTTATCTCTCTATATATAATTTAGTTATAAACTAAAATTTAAGATAATTCGTAATAATTTATTTTAAGAATATATAAATAAACATATAATTGTATACATAATGATTATTTTGTTATGTAATGTATTTATATGCATTTTAAAAATATTATTTAACATGTTTTAAAAACCATTTTTAGATAATAATGAAAAATATTAAAATTTAACATGTTTTTTATGTATGATATTTTGTAATACTTAAACATTTAAGTAATACTTTACATAATTTTATTAATACAAGACGTTGTACACTTAAGTATAAGCTAACTTATATTTTTTTGTCTTAAAAATATAAAAAACTCTCATTTTAGTTTTAAATTTTTTACATTTATTCATTTAAAATTAAATTGTTTTACCATGGAAATGAGATTGATTAAAGTGAACATTTGTTGATTAAAACTTACGAGAAAGAGAATTGGTGGGTATGAGAGTTGACAAAAAATTGTGCCAATGAGTATTATTGATAACGAACCAACAAGAGGTAAGGATATATCACAATAAGAGTTTATTAACAAATCTGATATCTTGATTACGTATATAAATTAGATTAATAAAATAGTTTGTGCATAATTATACTGTTATTATTTATTTAAAAATAAAATAAAATAGTTTAGCGTGTAGAAAAGGTGACATGTTACTAAAAAAAATGATACGCATAGAAAAAAATAATCATATAAGAAGGCTTACAAAGTGTTAAAAGGGTGAGTATATATTTATACTAAATGTTTTATGAAAATTGGAGAAATAGATAAAATTTGAAAACCTAGAAAGATTAATTATGGTGTTGATTAAAAACAGAGCTATTAAATTTGAATATAAATTAAAGTATTAAGTCTAAAAATATCATTCAACCTTTTTAAGTTTAATTTTTTAACCAACCGATATTATTTCAAGCGATAGATACTTGTTTTTTTACTTAAAACTTAAAATATATATATAAAAAAAAAGTAACAGAAAGAGTTTGTACTAATTATTCATGTCATGAACTTTCTTAATTTTAAAAAATTATTTTCCATAAGAATCATGGTAATTTAAATTAAAAGTAATAATTATGTAATGGCAATTGCTAGAATATATGTTTATCATTGCATATAATTTTTATAATTTAATAAAAAAATATAAAATTATTAACGAAAGTTAATTTAAGTGGAAGTAATTTGATATTATTTAAATAAAATTTTATATTTAAATCTTTGAATATGAAAAAAATTTCATAATAAATTTATTTATCATATTTAAATATACGACTCAAAAAAAAAATATAGACAGATTCAATTAAATATATAATTAATACATTTAAGAGGACCTGTTAGAAGTTTGGATCTCTAGATTTATGTAATCAATCAAATTGATCCAAACTTTATATTTTTTTCCAGTTGCTATACAAAGATTTAAACTCATTTCAGGTCACTTGAATCAATTATTTCTAACCCAGTGTTAATAACTACTTAGTGAAAAAAACAAACAATTCTGATAACTTATTTTATAACGTTTACATTGCATTCTCCCATTAATTATCCACCAGCTTCTCCTTCATCAAAGGAGAGAATACAAAAAACTGGTAATCAAGTATAAATACAACAAACACGGAATGTTATTTAATCAGAAGAAGTAGATTACATAAGACACACAAATATTATTTAAGTTGTAAAAAAATTAAGTCTCTAAAATATTTTATTATTAAATCATTTTTAATAATGTTTTTAACGTTTTTATATTATTTTTCATCTAATTAATTATTATATCATTCACTCTTCTCATTACCTTTAATAGAATGTGTTTAATCGATTTTTTTATTTTATATAATATTATATATAATAATAAGTTATATATAGTAATTTTTTTATTAAAAATTATAAAATTTAATACTAATTATTATATTTTAATAAAAATATATTTATATAATATTTTATATGTTAAAAATTAATATTTAATTTTTTTAACTATTAATATTTTATTAAAAATAAAATCAAAATACATTCTAACATGTTATATCTATATAAAAAATTACCAATACATGTCAAAAAATTATTAATCTAATTTATATACATAATCAAATTTGTCAAAAGTTTTGTAAAATATTTTAAAGAACGATACTTAATAAAATCAAATATTTTATTAATATTTAGTATATAATTATTAAAAAAATATTATTTTTTTAAAATCAAATTATTCATACTATTAAAAATTACATTATTACAAGTTTCTCCTTTTTTTTTTTCATGTCAAGTTTTACAAAACTCAATAATGTTGACACTCAACCATTTAAATACCATATATTATAATTTATAAAAATATCATAACACAAAAAAAGTTATATCATGTTATTATCTTTAATATTATAAAACTCACAAATTTATGATAAAATCGTTAATCTGTGTTTAATTTTTGTTTTTAAATATTTAAATTAATTTTTGTTTTTTTACATAAATGTTATTTTAATATTTTGTGCATGCAATTGCTTTTTATTTTATTATGTTTCTTCATTCATTTTAACTTTCTCATATTTATAATTTGATAATTTATCTATTTTTTTCATCGATGCAAGATAAATACTTAAATAAAAAATAATTCAGCGTGCGGAAAAAGCAACATATTATTCAATAATAATAATGATAAAAAAATAAAAAAAAAACAGAGAAGATGAACATGTGATATGCATCCGCAAAAATTATCCATATAAGAAGGCTTATAAAGTAGTTAAAAGGGTTAGTACTCAGTTTATGCAGAGCATTGAGCTGAGCTACGAAAACCCCCAAAACTCTGTTTATCGTTCCTTCGTTTCCGCGATTTCTTCTCAACCAGGTTCCTTCTTTCTGACAAATCTGATATTCTTCTTCTTTTGACTATTCTATTTTCTTATTATTTTTTTATCTCTGATTTCCCGATCTCTTTGCGTTTCTCTTTCTAGGGTTTCTCGCTTGATTCTTTTTTCAATTGATGATTTAGACATGTCATTGAAATTGGATTGGATTTTTTTTTCCTGAAAAGAGTTCTCTAGTACGATTATTTCATTTTTTTTTTCCGCTGTGGATTTTCTTGTTTGTGATTAGATCGCAGTGCCCTTTGATAGGCCTGAATGATGAACGCGAATTGCTGAGCTTATAAGGTATTTGCGAAAGTAAAATAAAAAAAGAAAGTTAAAAACTGTATTATTGCTTTTTTGCGAAAATTAATTGGATGTGATTATTGGTAGAGAAAGGTGAAGTCGAATGCATAGAGTAGTTGGTTAACCTATTAAGCTTGTGAATGTGTTATTGCTTCCCAATGAAAAGGTTATTTGGAAAAGTTTATGCTTGAATGAAGTTTACTTGTCGTCTTAATGCTGATGGTTTAGCTTAATATGATTCTTGGTCAGAATAGGAATGATGGTATGCTTGCTGTTCTTTTTTTATGGAAGTTGTTGATCTTTTTCTCTTGGACAATTTCGTAATCTAACGATAAAATGTGAAATAATGTTGGAACTGATGTCGTTGATGTAGGACTATGATTAAACTGTTTAAAGTGAAGGAAAAGCAGAGAGAACTTGCAGAAAATGCAAGTGGCGGACCTCCCATTAAGAAGCAAAGTGCTGGCGAGTTGCGTCTCCACAAAGGTTTTCTTGTGTTTTGTCTTTTGAACAGAATGTCTAATGTTTGTTTATCATGTCAAATCTGTGAGACATTCCCACCTTCCTTCCCAAAATTTCAAAAACAGAGGAAATGTTTAGTGCAAAGGAAAATGAAAGGTCTATGTTAATATTGTATCTGACATCTGACATTGTGACCAATAAAAATTTAAGTTTTGAAGGAAAAAATGCTTCAAGTGAATATCGTACATCTTGTTGCATTTTGTAAAGTTGTAATTATTTTGCAAGATGAATCTTTTGCTACTTTCTTTCTGGTTCTGACTTAGGGAGTGAGTTAGAATCTATATTGTTGCCTGTTATTTTAAGGCAACTATGATTTACATTTCTTTATTTGACTAAAGTTATAATATCAAATGGGAAAATAACCTATTTTAAGGGGGATGTGGAGGTTTTTGTTGTCTGTGGATTATAGTATTGAAATAACCTATTCGCAGTATATCTGCAAAGGTAACTGCTAAAACAAACATTGAAACAATCTTTGGCAAATTCATACTATAATGGTTTCTTGATCTGATTTTCTCTGGTTCTGGTGGGCCTTATGCTGTGAGTCTGAATTTTTAAGTGAATTAACCTCCCGTTTTTTTTTTTTTGGGGGGGGGGGGGGTGGGGTGATTGTTAATCTTTTTTTTTTTTCTTCCCTGTTTGTAGAGTTGTTATATCTTCTCCCTGTACATTCCAGGAAGGCTTTTTTATTTTATTATGGGCTACTGACCTGTAAAGAGTCACAAGTGCACTGGTTAAAATATGACATGCTTCTGAAGCTGTAGTGTTTTAATTGCTGCTTCAGGACATTTTTTGTTTCAATCTTGCCCGAGCCTGTAGTTTCTGCCATTTTATTTTCTTATACAAGTTGTTGTCACAATGTTGTATTGCATATCTTTCAGACATAAGTGAGCTGAATCTACCAAAATCTTGTACAATACAATTCCCCAATGGGAAAGATGACCTGATGAACTTCGAAGTTTCAATTCAACCTGATGATGGATATTACTTGTAAGGATGCTTCCATGTCATCTGGCATACTATGAACTTTGAGATCAAACTTGTTTTGTTTTTATTTTTTAAATGCTAAATAAAAAAACTCAAGTAGTCTCTACTATGTTTTATTTGTTGTTACAGAGGTGGCACATATTTGTTTTCCTTTCAAGTATCTCCCATCTATCCACATGAAGCACCTAAGGTTAAGTGCAAGACAAAGGTAGGATGGACTTGATTATCTTCTACCATAATTTGTGCTTCATTTTGTACCCAGCACGTTTAATTTTGGCATTGCTTACATGTGTTGTTTTCCTGTTCTGTTTCAACATCATAAATTTATTTGTAGCATTATGTCGTATGTGCAGGTCTACCATCCAAATATTGATTTGGAAGGAAATGTTTGTCTCAACATCTTACGAGAAGATTGGAAACCTGTCCTTAATATAAACACCATCATCTATGGCTTGTATCATCTCTTCACGGTATGTCTTTTTTTTTTTCTCCCATTTTTGTGTTTTTCATCTTCCTAATTTTGAGAATCCTATTTTATAATTGTGTGCAGGAACCAAATTATGAGGATCCGCTGAATCATGAAGCTGCTGCTGTGTTGAGAGAGAACCCAAAGATGTTTGAATCTAATGTGAGGAGGGCAATGGCTGGTGGGTATGTGGGGCAAACCTTTTTTCCACGCTGTATTTAAACCTTTGCTCAATACCTTGAAGTTCTGTTCAAAAATCTTATCAATGTCTGAGGGGCCATGCTTTGTAAAATTTGTCAAAAAATCGCATTTTACTTTCGTCAGTATGCTATTTTTCTTGGTGGTTCAACAGGACAAGTTCTTAAGATCACCAAGCGCGTCTAAAAGCCACAAACAAGTGGAATGTTATCGTATAACTTCTGTGCTTTGTTGAATGTTGACGTATTATTCTAAAGTGGACCAAGCAGAAAATGTGTTCAGCGGTGTTTGATGATTTCCGATTCCTTTCCTTCCCAACTCCCAAAATTTATCCCCCGGATGCCCTTGAAATAATTTGTTTCTGTTTCTGAGAATCCATGAAGTAGATACAAAAATAGCTAGGGCTGTTATCTGGTATCTGCTTCCATAATGTCTAGCGACATACAAGTTTATTAAAACTAGTTGATTTGAGTGCTCTGGTAGCTGCTTTTAAGGGTTCTAGATGTCTACATGCCAGAGAATGTTCAATTTCGTGTTCGTTCTTGAATTGCTAATATTCTTCAATGTTCATTTAAACTCTGGTTTTTATGTTAATTTAGCCTAAGGTTGAATACAATGCAATTCCCTCGAGGCCGTCTGCCATTTCAGGGGGATTAATATATGTAAGTCACTGATCCGAAAATAAAGAAAGTTATTGAAAACATGCTTCACTAGCATTGAGATTGTTTCGTGATGTTAAACGAAACATGCAAATTAACTTGTTTATGTTTCACAATGCACAATTGATGGGAACCCAAGTGACATTTCTCTTGCCACAGACCAATCCTTTTGTGCTATTCAAGTTTACAGTTAAATAGACGTCTGCATAAATGGTTTTGAACTGTTCAATCAGATATGCCATCTCAAGAATAAGCAATGGCTCAAAACGAGTCAGTCCTTAGTAAGAAGCCTACCGATGATGGAACCATGAATGTGCGGTTAACCTAGACTCGTAAAATAAAAATGAAATGAAGTCATTATTTGAAGATGGTTTCAAATGTTTCGTGTATACTGGGGAAGATGATACCACGTTTTTGAGGAGCGTTTAAACTCCAATCGAATTGGGATCCAAGTCACAAGCAGAGATGACGGGCTTTTTTCAGAAGATGTACCACTCCAAGAAAAGTGTTTCTCACATCATCTCCTCCTCTTTAACAGCGAGCATTCTAGCATTTTCACGGTCCCGCTTAAATATACAATATAGTGGTGTGTAGCACAAACAGCACACTCCAAATGGAAGTGCCATCATTGAAAGAAGGCCCTTAGACAAGGCAAGAGCCTCTGGTGAAGATCCTTTGATGGGATCAACAGACTTTGAGTTGTAACCAAACATTTTCTCTGAAAGAATCCCAACCAGGGGAGCCGCTATAGAAGAAAATGAGCCTTCAAAAGCTCTGTCAAATGCATAAATCATGGTACGATGTTTGGCAGGGACCACCTCAGCAAACATTGGGCCATTTGCAGCCGTACCATTCCAGCTGATCGTTAGACCCATCATAAATAGGGTCACAGAAAAGGTAAAAAAACTACTTACTGACTGAGGGATCACCTTAAGAAGAAACCATGAGAATGGAATGCCCATAATGGCACTGAACTGTGCACACATGATACGACCAGAATGAGGATAGATTTGTGATAAATGATCAGCTATTGATCCACCAATGAAGGAGCCCATAGCACATCCAATAGCAAAAAGACTGAGAAGGGTTGCTGAAGTATTATTATCAAAACCTGCATTATGAACCAATTCATCATGTCATGCCTCATAAAAGATAAAGGTTAGAATATTTATGCAGGTTATTAGTGATCTTGATTTGCAGTACAACTGTTTGAAAAGTACAATCATGAAATGTTGCATTAGCATCTTTATGTATAGAAGTTGGCTTCATGCTCACCAATTAGTTCGAACCACATTGTAAAGAACACCATTGCAGTCCATGGTAGTGAACCAATAATGCCCTGTAAGACAATTATTTGAAATGTCTGCACTTTGATTACAGCTTTCGTGGCTGCCCAAGAGTCCTTCCAAATTGATACAGCACTAACATTGCCTTTATATGTAGAGTCATCCCTGTTGACAAACACAACTGATTTACCAAAAATTACAAGTTAAAGAGATATAAAGCATTCAGTAATGTGTCAGTTATTATTAATGAGGATGGAAACAATATGACAGACAGTTTGAAGGCTCTTACGAGGGCGAAATGTACTAAAAGTTGTGCTCAATGCCCTCATGGATAATGTAAGTTGTGAAGTGTCATTAGTCATTACCTGTCTGAAATCTCACTAGCATCACGAGTGGAGGTAAACCTTTTTCTTGGGTCAACCACATATAGCATAACAAGGAATCCAATTAATGTACTTAAAGTTGCCATCAAAATGAAGGCACATCGCCATCCTTGTATGCCCCAAAACTGCTGGCCAGCCATGACTGTTGCCAAAACACCACCTCCTATGCCTCCTAAGTTACCAATAAGACTCAGCAATCCAAATCCAGTTCCTCTCACTCCATCCCTGTAGCTATCAGCAATGAAAGATTGTAGTGCTGGAATCACAATGGCCAAACCAAAGCCATTTATAGCTCTCCAGAATGCAACCTGCAGAAAATTGTGGCAAACACCCACAGCAGCAGTAGATAAAGCCCAGCAGAAACTGCCCATAGCAAGAATTGTTGGCCGATCATAGTTAATAACAAGTATACCAGCCAGAGGAGAGGACAATCCTTGAACAAAATTCCTTATGAATGTGAGGTAACCCAAATCAGATGGTCCAGCATTAAATGCTTCACTAACTTCTTTGTAGACTGAGGGAAGAAGGTTTTCGTCGGCACGCTCCATAATAGCAGCCAGGTTGATAAGAATGAGCGAGAGAGACACACCAAAAATCTGTGTTGTCCTGTAGAAAAGAAAATTATGGTTAGGCCAACTTAAAAGTGAAGAATAAGGCATGAGTAAGCCATAGATGCAAATCAATGTTTCAGCTCAGACACAGAAAGAAAAGAGAAGGAAAGCAGAAAAAGGCAGAAGAACATGCAAAATTATGTGAATAATGATGCAGTCTAGGCCCCTATGATCTCATTTTTCTTAATATCACAGAACTAAAAATATTTTAATAAAAATTCCAAACTCGTATATATACTAAGTCCTTTAAGAATGATGCCTTAAAATTTAGATCATATGGCTCACACTGACTAATTAGAGCAAAAGTATTAAGAATGATGTGTGTTAATCTAAATAATTATACGAGCACGGTTGCTTGCATATCATTACCAATGCATCCTTGACCATCTCATAAGAGATCTGTTTGTCCCATTTCAGAACATGTTAGCGAATGTTGACATAGCAACATATTTTCAAAACCTTAAATGAAGGATAACTACGCGCAGCAGGATAAATAAAAACAAATATCCAACTATAACATAACTACTCAAAAAATGAAAGCATCAATATTAGGCTTGACATACATGAATCCCCCAAATAGGAAAGGTATATAAACTGGTGATTCGTGAGTCATTCCGGCAAAAATTGATTTTCGTCGTTAAGTTTTGTCTTTTTACTACAACCTCATGTTTCTTCCATGTTCGCTTCATGAAGCTGGCATACAGATTTTTCAATAACGGTTTCATATTTCATATTAAACTCCCTAAGTCCAAAAGCTACTTATAGGAATGAATGAAGTATTAGAAAAAGGCTATGCACTATAATCCATGAAGAGTTCTATCCATACAATACAACAGCGTCAGAGTTAAAAACATAAACTGTTCACATAGAACTAGGCTTCGAGTTCATAGAAGAGGGGTTTTAGATAATCCAAATCAACAGAAGATTCATAACTGAAGAAGAGCATACACAAGTCAGAGGCATCAGAGTTTAGAAGCAAATAAATAGATGGATAACCATCAGCATGTTATTATCCTGAAGATGAACCAAGCTTAAAAATCCCTATCCTTACTTAGAAATCCCAACATTGCACATCATGATTTGATATTAGAGAGAGGGAAAAAGAAGTACTCACTTCATGGTTTGAGAACGTGAATAAGTGGGAGCGAGAATCGGAGATGTGGATGGAAGAACAGGATTATGTCTTGGAGTTCGACTCAGTCCCATCCCAAAGAAAGAGGAATTCAGACAAAGGCCCCCAAAGTTGCGTCCATGGTGGATCTGATGCAATAAACTATCAACAGATTTAACTGAACCAAAAAACTAGATGAAAATTCCGATGCACGTGTTGTTGTTTTTTAATGAAACAAACTCTTCCAATATTATTGTATAATCCGAAATAAAAAACGAAAGGCCAACAGAAAAATCAAGTTGTCCGTGTGTCTCTCTCTCACCCCGTAACTTAGTTGCAAGAGATCGTAGATAAGATGATTTAACTCTCAATTAACTTGAACTGCATCCTCCTTCCCTTTAAATAATAATTATGCTGTATGGTTATTTTTTTCTTAAATTTATTTTTTAAAAAATAAAAAGTACACGTATAGGTATTGTAGAAGTATGAAAGCCATTATCATCATCTCCTTCCCCTTGGTCATGGTCATGCAAGTGCTGCTACGGTGAGTTAGTAGTGGTCAATGTGGACATGTATGTATATCATCTGTGATGCAAACTTCTTAATGAATTGTTTATTTTATTTTTAGTTATTGTTTTTTCTAAGTCATATTTTACCATTAATTTATTTGTTAGATGACTAAATTAGTTCTTAAAAAATAATTTGATAATATATTAAAATAATAAGGTAATAAAAAAAAAAGGTTACTTACATTATTTCTGAATTTATGGTTTCAAACAGTAAATACAGTGGATATTATTCGCGTTATGGTAGGGGATTTAATTTAGGTTGTCTCGTAATGGTCCCTTGTTCCAATCGCCAACGGCCAACCAAAAGTGGAACGTGTTACCTACGGTTACGTCTGCTCCGAAAGTTTTAATTTCTTGTTTGAATTTTATTTTTTATTATTATTATTGTCAACGATTCTTCAAGCCACGAAGTTACAAATGGTGCTGGACACGATACCATAGTATGTAAACAATTAGAATTTATAAAATAATGCCAGAGGGGATAAATCCACCCAACTAATTGGGCCAACAATATGTATATCTTCTTAATCATTTCTATTATATAAAATCAAATGAAAATGACTTACAAGCTTTCTTAACTTTTTTGGTTGATTTTTTTCCCGTCTTCGACAGAGTTTAATTATAAAACATTTGTAATACTTTCATATCAATTTTTTCAAACCAAAATTGCTGTATTTCTGATTGTTAATTCTTTTGGGTTGCTGAGGAGGACGCTGCCGCTGTATTACAATACTCAACAAACTGGGCTTAGCCTTTTTGTAGTTTGACATTTTTGCTTACATTACAAAGAACACAAATAATTGTTTTTGGGAAGTGGGAAACGCAGCTTAACATAGGCCCAAACTATATGGGCTTGACCACTGTTAGGCGACAAACGCAAATTATATGGACAGAAATTTAAAATCGTTTGGAGCGTTAACATAAAAGAAATAATGAAAAAATTTATTCTACCATTGAAAAGTTTGTTATCCTACTTGTAATAATCGTCATTATTAAACTTATACTAGTAGATAGTCAAGTTAACAATTAAAAAATATATTAATATTTTTCAATTTTTAATCTACCATACTCTTTTTATTTGAAAGACTTGAGGCTTAGTATTATTTCTTATGCGTAAAAGAATTATTATCGTTAATTTTATATCAATAAATAATAAAATTAATAGTTTAATTAAAAATTATTAATATCTTATAATCTTTAAAACATGATGTAATAAATCACAAAAAAAATATTAAAAAAGATATAGAATATTTTTTCAAGTTCAGAGACTAACAAACAAAATATATTATTGGTGGTTGTCAAAAATGTTTTAAAACCTTCATTAAGTTTAATCTTTGTTATACTTAAATTATGACTTCACGTTCCTATAGTTGTTTTCTAATCGTGTTCCTTCCTCGTGTTGTTTGCCAATAATACTCTGGCAATTTGGAAATCACTGTATCTGTAAGATTTTGTTTAATTCTAGTAACATTTTCATATTAGCAAACGGAGAAGTTGGTTTTGAAAAAAAGAAAATAAAAAATGCTTCACGTGAGTTTTGAGTCAAAGTTATTGTCTCGATTATAAAATAAAAATGAGTTTGTTTGGTTTAAAAAAATTTTAATTTAAAATATGTTTGAAAAAAACATAATAATAATACAGATTTGAAATTTGGATAAATAATATATAAGGAGTAAATTTTAAAACAAAATAATAATTTAAAAAATATATTACAGAATTACTTTGTGTTAAACTTAAAAAACATGCCTAATTATTATTTTTAAACTTGTTTTAAGTTATTTTCATTTCATTACAATAGTTTTGATTGAAAAATAAAAGAATGAATCATGTTTAAATACTTTTATATTCAAAGTAAGTTTGGTATGTATTTGAAAACCACTTCTTTTATAATCAATTAGCTGATAAAAAAATTTATTTGTCTAGAATAAGTTAGTTAACACAAACACACGTTGATGTTATTTTGATAATTTGATTAACATCGCATTTTGCATTATTACCAAAATAAGTTTGAATTCCACGTCTATTTGCTCAAATTTCATTTCTATTTTATTCCATTATTTTGTGGTATTTCATTAACAAATGAAATAAAGAAAAAACAATGTTCTTTTATTAAGTTTTTAAATTATAATCTAATAAATGCGTGGCATTTCAAATTTTGACATAAAATCTGCAGTAACATTATGTCTACGAAGTTTTACTAGGAAAATGATTTTTAACGAAATGATACTCTTTGGGATTTTTAACCTTTTCAGATTTATAATTATGAAAAATATCATCTAGGGTTTTTATTTTTAATTCATAAAGTCATGAAATTCAAGATTTCATCTTTTGCATAAAACATAAACTAAACGCAGATATTCCATACGATGTGTCTATTAAATTCTAAATAGTGTGTGCAAATGAACAAAAAATGCTTACAAAAATAGTATATATAATATTAAAAAGTGGTACAAAAGAGACAATTAGCATGAGTTCCAACCCAGAGCATTAAAGCAATTCCGTATCATTTAACATTTATCTTCAATCGGGAGTTTATGGCCAAAAGTGATTTATTGGTTGTTTTAAGTTAATAATCAATAATGACTGAATATGCTTTGAAAGGACAAATTTTCACTCGTATAAGTTGAACACGAGTATGGGCGAGCCAAATCCAAACCTAATTAAGAAATAATATGGGAATTTTATTTTCTTTTTGTAATTAGTTTAATTTTTACTTAATTTTTATTAATTTTAAAATGTTAGAGATAAATATTATTTATTTTTTCTTATTATTTTATATAAATTTATAATTTTTTTATACATTTTTATATTCATGAAAATAAAAATTCTTTATGACTTAATATTTCCTGGTTACAAATTTACATTAAAATATATTTTTTAAAAATAATTTTATTTTTTATATATAGTTATTTATAAACTTTTTTAATTATTAAATTTTATTTATTTATTTAAAAATAAAATATTTGCGCGAGGTACCGGCCAACTAGTTTTTATTAAAAAATGGTATAATATGTCATTATTTTTAATATATTTTTAACATGAACTTTTTTCATGATATATACAGGAAAACGTTAAGAATTTCTTATTTAACACGCTTTAAAAATTTTTATTGTAAAATACAAATTATTGGAATTTATTGAATGTGACATGAGATTTATTAAATTGATTGAAGTTTGTGTCAATTTAACTTTTAAAATTCGTGTAAGATACTTTCCATACATATTGTCGTCACAGTCTAAATAAAAATTTAAATTATTATAATAAACATTTTAATTTTAATACACTGTTAATGATAGGATTTTTATACTATTAAATAATTAAAACATATAATAAATACAGCTTTTAAATCAGTTTTTACAAAGTATAATTTATTGACATATCAACTTGCGATTAAATGATGATATAAAATTTTTTATATTGCCAATAAAATTTAATTTAAATCTAAAAAAATATCTTTATATTTAAAAAAAATTAAAAGATTAAATTAAATAAAAATTTAAAAATTTGATATAAAACTTAAATTAAAACTTTACCTAGACTTAAAAAACGGAAAGTAGCATTAACATATTAATATAAACATGACGGATATACACTAAAAATATCTGCATTTATTTTATATACTGGCTTTTAGATCAACACTATTATTTGTTATTATGTACATAACAAACATGTAATATTTATATTAATAATTTAATTTGTGTTAAATAAATATAGTGTCAACACAATAATTTTAACTACTGACAATTTTTTATAACATGAAAAATGAATATACAAAATAAACATGCTTTCCAATTAATTTTAAAAAGTGTGATCTCTAATCTAAGCAGCTCACGACTCAATTCATCAATCCAACTGTATGGACCCCTACCCCACGTGCTCTCTTCCGTTATTGAGAACCTCGGTTGGCACTTTTCCATTTCAAAAAAAAAAAAAAAGGTAAAAGAAAAAGAAAATAGGTGTAGGTGGTGTGATTTTCTATTTTTAATTGAGCAGATATCTTTTATGGGTTGAAAAGGTTTCAGTTTTATTTTAATTTTTAATACATGTAGGCATTACTCAAATTTAGTGCTCCATTTATTAATATATATTTCCTTATAGATCATGAATGGAAATGTTTAGGGCAGTTTGATTTGATAAAATATGTTTTATTTTATTTTGAACCATAAAATAACATTTTATTTATATTTTTTATTTCAAAATGTTTATATATAAATAATATATAATTCAATAGATAAGAGGACACGTGCCTGTGGTTCCCACATGGCACCCACCGGTACCTTCCCAACGCACGTGTGCCAATTTATGCTTCCTTTTATTACTGGCTTTGCATCGTCCGATTGCTGTCCTACTTTTATTCCCGCACTGTAGCCTCTATTTTATTCTTCGGATAAATTAATTTTAGTTTTAAAGTATCAGTTTAAACATTTCAAAAATATAGTAGAAAAAATTATAATATTAAGAATATAAATTTATGATAAATTATTTTTTTAATTATTTTTTTGGGTGCAGCATAACCTCGCTTTAATACATCAATTAAAAATCAAATAAGAAAACAATTTTATTAAAAGTCATGATAGAATTTGTTAAAAATCAGTATTGTTAAGATATTAGTATTCGCTTTACAATATTTACTTATCACTCTTGTTTTGTTATTAACGCTTTCATCCATAGACGTTACGTGTTTCTTGAATTTCAAGTTATTCTTTCAGTTAAGATTAAAAAATAAACAATTATAGTGTGAGAAGTTGAAGGATATATTGCAATAGCAAGTAGTTACATTTTACAAGTACATCTGGTTATTCTTCATGCGTAAGATCATTTATGTCAAAGGCCATTGATTTTTACATAATAATAGTTTATTAAATTAAGGTTTATTTAAATTATTCACTTAAATATACTTTATATCTATCACGGTTAAACACATAATTGACTTAAAAAAAAAGTTGACGCATAATTGAGTCTCTTAAACATAATTAACAAACAAAGGTTATTGATTCTTGGCCATGTGAAAAAAAATTATTAAAAAAAGTCAAATTTTATTTTAATAATATTTACGCTTTAAAAGAAACCATTTTAATACGTCTCTTAATAAATATAAAATATTATTATTTTTAGGTTTATTTAAAAGAGAGCTACCAAATTTGTTTAATTCTAAATAGAAGAAATAAATATTTTTAAATGTATTATCTATTAATTATTTATATTTTATTTATTACAAAACCTGTATTAAAAAAATGAGATGATTGAAAAGAACATAGTCTTAAAAAAAGACTAAGATTTAAAATTTATAAAATATATTAAAAATCAACGAAATATGTTAATAATTGATTTTATAAATAATGTGGCTTTGTAACGTTCCTCTGCATAGATTCTAAGGCGAGGCAGGAAAGGAAGGATTTCCAAGAAAGAAGGGCAAAGTTGACCTGAGGAGGAGGGCAGAAGAGTGAAATCACAAGGGGCATCTCTAAACTCAACTCTCATGTGTACTGTAGCATGAAAAGAATGGATTGGCGCGCCGAGCCGTGGGATTCCTCTGTTGCCAGAAAGAAATATTTTGCAGAGAGGAGGGACCGCATTCTGGTTCTCGTGTTACAGCCACACCCATGCACTCGACACGTCAAAGGTGGTCCCAGTCCTACCCACGCTGTTCCTTTCTTTATTATGGGTTTCTGTGTCGCACGTGTGGAGCCGACTGAACCCTCGCTGGATGGGCCCCACACACTCTCATCTCGTTGTTTGTCCGTATCTGTGCCCGTTCCAACTAACATCACGTCACGTCAGACCAATCCCCAATTACCGGAGAACGGGGCATGTTCCCAATCATCGCATTCTACTTAATTCATCTATGCCTATAATTATCGTTTTTAACTTGCATAATTCAATGCCCAATGCTTCCTCCGTTGACTCTCTGTTAGTAATCACTAAACATTTTCTCGTTTTAGGATAACTTACATACTACTAATATCTTTAAGCTATTATACTAGGGAGTTTAATCACGCATTTCATGAATTTCTCTTAAATAATTCGTAAATCATTCAATTTATTTACTTCATAATTATTATTATTGATGTTTCTTTTATTGACAACCATTTTTCTACCATTTTAAGTTATTTTGTTCGTCAATACCGCGTTTCATTTTTTAATCATAGTATGCGGTTGGAGAGAATTACATCCGTCCAACAGTATGCATGAACTTTTGCCACGGGTGGGGCCATGTCAAAGCATCCCTATACTATGAACTGGTATGCAATTATGGGGAGGTTTTTACATGTTTCAATTCACGTGTGATACACTTTATATTTATTCTAAATTAAATATTATATTTATTAATTCCGTATGTGATACATATTTTATCACATACTGTTTAGAAGTGTGTACGCATAAAAATGTCTTGCGATCGTGCACATCGGGTTTTCGAATATTAATTGAAACTAATAGGCAATAATGGAGATGCTTATTTCTCTGGGTCCCATTTTGGGGTGGTTCTGCTGTGCATCTTTATCTCCATTTCATCACACCACGAATTTGCATGTGGGCTGCAACTTACTTTGACCGGTCTTGATGCGCTAATTGTACCACCAAAATTTGCTTGGGTTTCATACCAAAATGAAGTGACAAGGCCGGAAAAAACAATGGTTACATGATACCCAGACTCGCAAATCATAAGAAATCTCTGTCAGTTACTATGTAAATTTCGATTCCTTCCATCAGTATATATTTTTTAACTGACACTCGTGTCTGGAACAGTAGCGAAGCGAGGTCACAGATTCACGTACCATACATATTCTTTAATTACTATTACTCTTCATTTTTATTTCGTGTCGCGCTATTCTTTTATCTTTTCGTACCATACCTAGGGCATAGGGCACCATTGGGTGTAGGGGTCCCTCGTATTCGGTATTAGTCATGTGGCTAAGTCCGAGCCGCAGAATTGGACTGTGGTATCCGTGATTAAGCTACAGCGCTACACTGTAACGATGCTAATTGTTAACCAACAGGTCATGTGCCTTCCATGAAGGAAGGGTGGGTTAGGTCACCGATGGCATGTTTCCTATTTCAACTAAGTTGATTTTCCACGCTTTGTGGCTCCACTGTTTAATTTGGATTAGCAGATCATCAGACCAATTGAATTGAATTGAATGTCAGCATAAATATCCTAAGCTTTGTTAATTAATTCATTTTCCCAAATTTGATTGCATTTACGGTTTGACTAGTATTTCCTCGTTATAACTCTGTTTTTATATACATTAATTATAGTTATTGGCTGGCTGATAACATCCATCCACATAAAATAACAAAATATTAATAAATTCAAAAGCTTTATTTATGTCATTAAAATTGTCTGTACATTTGCATAATTTCATAAGAATCACTTTAAATTTTCAAATAATTAAAGGTTGATTGAGGAAACAAAATACAAGTTTGAATAAAAGAAATCATCGTAAATAACTTCAAATCTTGTCAATCTATGTATCAATAGAGAAAGCCTCACAAAAGTGCATGGTTGATTCCCTTAGTACTGTTGATTAAAATTTGTATTTTATCGTCTATATAGAAAAAAAAAAAAGAGGAGGTATCAAGAGAAGTTAAATCTATCTTGATAAGTACACACTTTAGAAGGATTAATTTTCAATGGTTGGTTAAATTCCATCATTTTATATTTATTAAAAAATAATATATTTATTTTTGTTCAATACACTTCAGTATACAGGAAAATAGGGATTTAATTGGTATACTAGATAATATAAATAAATGAAATTGTAAATTTTTTAATACTGGGCACCTCTCATTAAAAAATAAATAAATATAGATTTCAGTTGTTATTTATCCTGATCAACTTCGCCGGGGTCCATGTCTCTGGTTCTCCAATCAAACATTTTTTCGTCAAAAAATAAATAAACAATTAATGAAGTGAAAACTACGGCAAGTGTGAAAACTAAAAGGGATGGAGAGAGAAGAGGGTAAGGGAAGAATCTAAAAAGGAAGCAACATTTCTATTTCTCCTTCTTCATCTGCAGTACAAGAAACTTCAATCCACCCAGCCTTCTCCTCGTGACACACACACACACACACACAAATCCCCCACTTCTTCTCTGTGCTAAGAGAAGAAGAAAGGTTCGCTGGAACGATGACCGGCGGTGGGTCGACGGGGAGGTTGCCGACGTGGAAGGAGAGAGAGAACAACAAGAGAAGGGAGAGAAGACGCAGAGCGATTGCTGCTAAGATCTATGCTGGCCTTCGAGCTCAGGGAAACTACAAGCTTCCCAAACACTGTGACAACAACGAGGTTTTGAAGGCTCTCTGTGCCGAAGCTGGTTGGATCGTAGAAGAAGATGGCACTACCTATCGAAAGGTTCCCCTCAATCTTAGATCTACTTGCATTTTTATAAATCTGTTGATCTACTACACATCGAAATGGAACCTTTTAATTCTCCAAACAAACAACGTTTCCTCGTCCTGATCTGAGTGTACAACGTTGTTTTCAAATTACAGAAACATACGATAATTATTGTCTATGTTGCTTTGCCTAATACGAGGTTTAACGAAATTAATACAGGGATGCAAGAGACCCCAAACTGAAATTGGAGGAACTCCACCTAACATAAGTGCTTGTTCTTCCATTCAACCTAGTCCACAATCCTCGTCATTTCCTAGTCCTGTACCATCGTACCATGCGAGCCCAACCTCGTCCTCTTTTCCCAGTCCTTCACGCATTGAGGGAAACCCCTCTTCTTTTCTCATCCCATTCATCCGCAACATAACTTCCATACCCGCAAATCTTCCACCTCTAAGGATATCTAACAGTGCTCCAGTAACCCCACCGCTTTCTTCTCCCAGAAGTTCTAAGCGCAAAGCGGATTTTGAATCTCTCTCCAACGGTTCCCTCAACTCCTTCCGACACCCTCTTTTCGCAACCTCTGCTCCGTCGAGTCCAACGCGCCGTCACCACGTGGCCACGTGCACCATTCCTGAATGCGATGAGTCTGATGCTTCCACCGTGGACTCTGGTCGCTGGGTTAGTTTTCAGGTTCAAGGAATGGCGGGTTCAGCTGCTGCTGCCGCTCCTCCTTCGCCTACCTTTAATCTTATGAAACCCGCGATGCAGCAGATCATTCCTCAGGAGATGAATGAGGGTGTACAATGGGGTTCGGGTGCAGAGAGAAGCAGAGGAGGGTCAGATTTTGAGTTTGAGAACGGCAGAGTGAAGCCTTGGGAGGGTGAGAGAATACATGAAGTGGGAATGGATGAGTTGGAGCTTACTCTTGGGTGTGGAAAGGCTTGAAACATTGCAATCCCCTAACCAATTGTGCCTTTTCCTTGGATCTGTTACTTGGCTACGTCAGGCAATTGGTTTTTATGCTTTATTTCTATATTTTACTTATGTGTACAGTTCCTCTTATATAGCAGTGGTTAGTTGTTACATTACATGGAATTTCACTTCATTGTAATGCTTTGTTGATTGTTCAAAGGTTGCATTTGAAGCAACTGTTTAGCAAGTGTTTTGATTTGAGACTTTTAATCTTAACTTACTATGACCGGGGAAACGAGGTGATATTCTTATCTTATTCCTCTTATTATTTACACATTGCTGAATATTTATCTGGGACTGTTTGAAATTGATGTGCTAAGATTGGGAAGCTCTCTCCCTATATATATACTGGGCATATCAAGTTAAACTTAATTAGCAAAGAGCTAATTTTGATATTTCATTTATGATTATATGGTTAAGATTAGTACTTATTTTTTGAGCATGTTTTCACTTAATCTTCACATGCTTGTGTATACTACAGCCTTTCAATTTATGAAGAATGCTAACAAGTGTTTTACGACACTTTAGGGAACTAAAACTGAATTTTTTTTTTTCGTAGTAGTATTAACACACTTTCATCGTGATTTTCAGTGAAAATTTTTCATTTATTGATTTCTTAACTAATGCCTTTGACACTTGTTTGCAGTACTCTCTGTTTTATTTGCTTGGTTGAGCTGTCTTTGATCTTCTAGGTTTTTAATATTCGTCATCTAAACTGCTTCAATGTTGTTTAAACTTTACTCATTTATTGTTAAGTATGCACTTGTCAACAGAATTAGTGACCTAGCTCTAGCATGTCTCATTCTTGTGAGAACATCCATGAGAATAGCTGGTAAGTTTTATGAACTTCTGCTGAGATTATTTGAAAGCAAGTCTAATGTGTAAATGAAGATCTATGTCAACATTGGTCGATAGTGGCTTTGCCAGACAGCAGAATACAAATGTTTTTTTTAACCCAGTTCATCTTCATGCTGAATGCTACAACAAAAGCATGGTTGTGAACTGAGAATTTATAACTGTATCACCTTGTTAGTTAGTGTTAGTGATGCATCCTGTTATTTTGCTCTCTCTATCTCTCTCGCTATAAATTCATGATAATCCCTGGTGTTAGTCATATATTTTATTCAATTATAGATTCAATCAATACTTCTATAGAACTTCTCTATCTAACATAGCGCCACTTACATTCTCCATCTAACTTCAGTAGTACCTCAACACTTGTAGACTCGTAATTTTTAAGATCCAGAGATAAATTTCTCCTTTTTTGTACAAAATCTTCTCTTTTTAAGAATAAATACTTAAAAAGGAATCTATTTTCCTATGGACCTTGCATGTTTTTTTTGGTATGTTTGGAAAATTATCCAGAAATTAGAGAATATATATAATTACATGGATCCTCTGCTCAATGTAATTCGAGATGACAATAGTTAAATGATAATAATATTTTAATATGGTAATTTTTGGACCGGAAAAAAAAATAAAGACATACGTTGTTAATGTTCATTTTATATACATAAAAACTAATTAAAAATTTTAAATATAATTTTTACAGAATATAATTAGTGATAATAAAAATGGATTACCTAACTCGATTCAGGGTTTAAGCCTTTTTATGGATTAAAAAATATCACAATTTTTATTTAAGTCGTAAAATAATTAATACAGCTCAGCTTGAATCCATATCTAACAATTGGCATATATAGACTAGGCTAAAATTAATTACAGAAAAGTTTGCATGAGTTTGATTATTTTTTTTTTTTTCAAAACTAATATCACTCCAAAAGTTTCTCCTTTACCTTTTTATTTTAGTGGGCATATTCTGTCTTACTCTCTTTGCCACATCTAAATAAAATAAAGTTCTTCATTTTTAGAATAAAATAATTTTTGTTGTATTATTTTCCTCTTTAAGACATGTAGCTTGATTATTGTTTAGTGCTTTTTCCATGTTTCTGAGAAAAATTTAAATTATTAATTATTTCCAAATTTTTTTCTTGTCACATTTCTCTCTCTCTCTCTCTCTCTCTCTCTCTCTTTTGTATAGTTTCAGAATAACTATTTTCAATGTTTTGAATTAATTTTAAGCGTTTAAACTTTATGCACTATTTTTTTTTTAAGTTTTTCATTATGTATAGTAAGTTTTACTTTTCTTATAAATCTCATATAACTGAATATAACTGCACCCCTCCTTTGTCTCTTTTATTTAAAAGAAAACTAAACTTAGTACACTCTTTCAACCTGTATGTGAAGATTTTCGTCCATAACTTTGTAACTTTCAACTTTCATCCATAACTTAATAAAATGTTTCTTAGATTGCTGAACACTGTTAAAGTGTTTTTCTAAATTAATATATAATTTCAAGTTTGAATCTCACTTAACGTAACTATATTAAATATTGTCTAGTAATCTTATTCTAATTCAAACAAAATTACCTGTGACAGAAGATATTTGTAGTCTAATTTTTTTTATTCATAAGTTGTTAAAACAGGTATCATGTTAGTATTTTATTAATATTAATGACATTTGAGAAACATGTTTATCATAGGTGGAACTAATATTAGAAATTAAACAACGAATATCAACAGTGCTTTAATACAGACAATGAAGAAAAAGATAATTTTATAAATGTGTGAGAATTAATAAATTTGAATATAAATTTGAATATTTAAGTTCTTAATTAAGAGTTATGAAATAATTTTTTCTGGAGTTACTTGTACACATTAAGGGTAAAATTTAGCGCATTAGATAAATAAATTTATTAATTTTTATAATGTTAATTGATTGTCGAACTAACATAAAATGTATTTGAATAAATTTAAGATTAAGATTAAATATTTATTAAGTTGAAGACCAAAATGAAAAAGATTACAAAATTGAAGGCAATAAATCAAATTGCATCATAACCTTGTCATGAAAATTTTACTCTTCATTGATAGATAAATTAACATTATCAAGCATTATAATATTGTTCTTCAGTATGATTTGTGTTTAACACAAATTATAATGTCAGCATAAAGCTTAAAAATGTATAATTTGATGTATTAATCGTATGAAATAGTATTTTATTTCAATAAACCATGTATTACTATAATATATGATAAAGGTATATCTAAATTACTATATGAAATAAATATATATCTATTATAGATGGATTAACAAAAAATTATCTATAAAAAATAATATAATTTTAATATAATATTTTAATATAACTAATTTAGAAGAAAAACAAAACCCACCTGATGACAATGATATAAACTCATGACATATTGAGATTAATTTTCGGTAAAGATGCAAGTAAGCTAAATGACACTTTGCATAAGTAAGTTTAAGACAAACTTATTATATGTGATATATTTTTTTTTATTAAGCTTGATTTATCTTTTTTAGTAGTCTAACTTGACTTATTAATTTTTTTAACAATTTATTTTTATATTAAGACCTTTAAATGACGATTAAACCTCTTTAATATTTAAACAAGTCAATGTATAATGCTTAATAAAAAAAAAAGTTAAACCTTTAAATAGGTCAAATTATAAGTTTTTTCAAATAATTTGACATATTTTTATCCCTAATTCTATGAAGAATCTAATTAATAAAATTATTTATTTTTTATTTTATCTATAAAAATAATATAATTCTTAATATAATATTTTAACTTGATTAATTTATCTATAATAAAACTATTTATTCTATAAGATAATTTAGAAGAAAAATAAAACCCACATGATAATGGTGGTACAAACTCATGATGTTGAGATTCACCTTAGAATGCAAGAAAAGTCCAACTGAAAATGTTTCGCTTCAACTCGTCACTAACCCGTAGTTTAATGTGTTGAAGAAAGAGTCGTGTTTACTCTCTATTGGTAGTATCTAAGTGATTAGGTGATTATTAGTATTGAAGAATTTATTATACAACTACTACTTTCCATCATCGTCTTCGTATGCTGTAAATGTGACAGACTCATCCTTCTCGAATTCTCCTCCTTCCGTTTACTATCATCATGAAGATGCACAACCCACCACATCTTGCTCTTCTTTCCAGCCCAGGCCTAGGCCATGTTATTCCCATGGTGGAACTCGGAAAGCGCTTCGTCCTACACCACACCGTCAAAGTCACAGTGCTTGCCGTCACTTCTCAAACTTCAGAAGCAGAAACTCATGTTTTAAAATCAGCCATCATACCCGATATCATCGAGGTGGTTGAAATTCCGTCACCAGACATCTCTTCACTCGTCAAGGCAAACGCTGGCATCGTCACTCGCTTATGCGTGATGATGTGAAGCCATGCACACCATTCGGTCTGCGCTTTCCAGCATGACCCTTCGTCCCTCTGTTCTCATCGTCGACATATTCGGAACTGAGGCTCTGCCCATAGCCCGAGAATTCAACATACGCAAGTACATCTTCTGTGCTTCACACGCAGGATTTTTATCGTTGGTACTGTATTCCCCTGTGTTGGTCAAACAGATAGAAGGACCGTACGAGGAGCAGGAAGCACCGTTTCAAATCCCAGGTTGTAAACCGGTTCGTCCTGAAGATGTCGTTGATCCCATGCTGGACCGAAACGACGTGCAGTATCAAGAGTATCTAGGGATAGGGAATGAGATCCTAAGAGGTGAAGCCCAGGGAATACTGGTGAACACGTGGGAGGAACTTCAACACAAAGACCTTGAAGCTCTGAGAGACAGTGATTTATTGGGCCGGATCCTGAAAGTGGCCGTATACGGTGTTGGGCCTATAGTGAGGCAACCCGTATCAGAAACGACCCCCGAGAGCGAGTTGGTTCTGCATTGGCTTCATAAGCAACCGAGCGAGTCTGTGATTTACGTTTCGTTTGGCAGCGGTGGAACGCTGTCGTATGAGCAAATGACGGAGGTGGCTTGGGGTTTAGAGTTGAGTGAACAGAGATTTGTTTGGGTGGTGCGCCCACCCACCGGAGATGCTGCAGACGCGGCCTTCTTTACCACCGAGTATAGCAACGAGAATGACATGGTGCTTAATTACTTGCCGGCAGGGTTTGCATCAAGAACCAGCAAAATGGGCCTGTTGGTCTCACATTGGGCCCCACAAGTGGCCATGTTGAGGCACCCCTCTGTTGGGGGGTTTCTGTGTCACTGTGGATGGAATTCTGTCTTAGAGAGTATTGTCAACGGTGTGCCCATGATTGCGTGGCCGCTGTACGCGGAGCAGAGAATGAATGCCACGTTGTTGGTGGAGGAGCTTGGTGTGGCGGTGCGGCCCAAGGTGCTGCCTTCGAAGAAGGTGGTGGAGAGAGAAGAGATAGGTAG